GAACCAAAGATTACTGGCTCTCTCTGCAGCAGCTGAATGTTGGCTTCTTCTCCTCTCCCTACTGCTGGCTTTCAGCTGCTGCAGAGAGAGCCATACAGGGGATCGGTTCCAGCAATTGCCCCCCGCCATCCCCATCATCCCCACTGTGCATTATACATATCCCCCTGCTGCCTAGGACCCCCCCCATGTGCCCCCAACCCCGCAGTGCTGCCAATTTCCCTCCTCTCCCACCCACTGGCAGCTGCAAGCACACAATAGAATCCTTTGGGATGAAGTAGGGGAAGGGTCCAGTAAATATGTCACATTTACCAGCCCTTTCCTGAATGATCGGTACCAATCACTCTCTGTTTTCATTCATACCTGAAGCATAGTAAACTGTGTTTTTTTGGGGGGAGGGGAGGCCCTGTCAGGTTGGCTGTATGGGGCCCCGCGGTTTCTAACAGCAGCCCTGTCTATGTCATTGGAGAGGGACATCCACTAGCATTTACTCTGGACTTCTAAAGCCAAGAAGGTAAGTACTAATGAAAAAAAATGACTACAGATTAGTTATGGGCAGCCTGTAGCAGGATAGAACAGGAAGTTAAGATTAGGGTTCAGTTATGCTTTAGGAAAATGTAAAAATATGATTTGCCATACAGAGGTTGTCCCCGTGGTTTGCAACAGCAGCTCTGTTCTTGCCTCTGCAGGGCCATGGCCCTTCTCTCTGTTCCAGAGGCATTCCTTGACCCATCTCAACAACTTTTCTCAGTCCAACACTATGGAATGTTGTTCTTGTCAACACATTGTTTATTCCAAGGACTTTACAAAATGAAATGGGAACATCTTTGGTGAACAGAGGAAAGAAGATTTTTCAGCTAGTGTAGGAAGGGTTTCATTGCAGTACGGATAGTCTTCACTATATATAAAAAAAAAACAAAACAAAAACTAAACAGCAGCTAATAAGTCATATGCGTCTAACCTCCGCTAGAAACATAATCGCTGGACCGGTGAGATTTTTTATAAGTAATCATTGTATACATGTTTATCGTTAAGATTATGGTTGTAAAACCCAGCTCAACGTCGATGATGGTCTCTCTGAGAATGAACAGCCTTTTTCTAAGTGTTCCAACTGGGACAGCAAAGATTGTTTATTAGTCAACAATAACCACATTTAATATCCAGTACTCAGAAAAGAATCTCGAGTCTTTGCTTTTCCAGGAAATCTGAAAGGAAGTGAGATATGTCATCTGGGCTGTATCTCAATCACAATGGAATCTATGTATTGGCAGGCAGTGGTGGACCTTATCCGAGATCGCAGCAGTCTTCCAGGCCCGATAAAGCTTGCCATGAAATTCAACGTGACACAAGCGAAAAAACAGCCTGACCGGATGCTAGCAATTTACCTACACAGCAGTATGAGTATCTAATGAGTCATTTGTAGGAACCCTATTGGTTAAAGGGAACTCCTTTCAGAATAAACCATTTGGCTTGGAGTAGGGTATAACTACATTTAAAGTGTAACTTATGCAGGCCACAGACGGGTCGAAAATCGGCCGATTTTTCTTTTTAAAAAACGAAAAATCGGTCGTTCAAGCGGCCGACGTTACCAGCAACGGTAAAAAAAATCGGCCGATTTTCATCCCGTCTACAGCCGGCAAAAAGTGTCCCTGCAGAGAGCTCCGCTATTTCTTCTGACAGTTCCTTGACATTTATAGCGGTTGCAACAATGTATCTATTTGTATCCATTTCGGATACAGATGTTTTTATTCGGAAACAAATAAATGCATTGTTGCAACCGCTATAAATGTCAAGGAACTGTCAGAAGAAATAGCGAGCTCTCTGCAGGGACACTTTTTGCCGGACTGGAATTCCTCTTCTTCTTCATCTTCTTCTTCTTCTTCTTCTCATCCTCTTCTTCTTCTTCTTCTTCTCTTCTCTTCCTCCTCCTCTCTACTTCTTCATCCTCTTCTTCTTCTTCATCCTCTCTTCTTCTTCTTCATTCTCTTCTTATTCTTCTTTTTCATCCTCTTCTTCTTCTTCTTAATCTTCTTCTTCTTCTTCATCCTCTTCTTCTTCTTCTTCTTCTTCTACTTCTTCTTCTTCATCCTCTTCTTCTTCTTTTTCTTCTTCTTCTCATCTCTTCTTCTTCTTCATCCTCTTCTTCTTCATCCTCTTCTTCTTCCTCTTCTTCATCTTCTTCATCCTCTTCTTCTTCTTCTCTTCTTCATCCTCTTCTTCTTCTTCATCTTCTTCTTCTTCTCATCCTCTTCTTCTTCTTCTTCTTCATCCTCTTCTTTTTCTTCTCTTCATCTTCTTCTTCATCCTCTTCTTCTTCATCCTCTTCTTCTTCTTCTTCCTCCTCTTCTTCATCCTCTTCTTCATCCTCTTCTTCTTTTTTTTCTTCCTCTTGCAGGTCACTGCTCATGCGCAGATTTTTTTATCGGTAAAATATCGGCCGATTTGCCCATCATTGCCACGAAAATCGGCCGATCGGCAAAATCGGCCGATTTTTTTGCAACTTTACCGATAAAAAAAATCTGCCAAAATACCGAAAAACGGCCGAACATTTAGCCCACTAACGATCCGAAAATCGTCCGATTTTATTTTCAGCTGAAAAATCGTCATCTATGGCCTGCATTAGTCTAAAAATTTTGATTGATAAAATAATAGCTTACACTCCATTTGTTCTAGAGGGATCCTTTATACATTTTGCTTCAACCCTCGTTTTTTTTTTTTACCTGGTAATTCTGCCAATTCCGCCAATTCCTCCATTTTCAGTCCTAGTCCCCCTGAGCAGATCCCTTAGGCTACGTTCACACCTGAGTGTTTTGTAGCTCAAAGCTTGAAGATGCTCAAAAAGCAAAATTCTATTTATTTCAATGGCCCCTGTTCAGCATTTTTTCGAGCTTCAAGCTACAAAATGCTTCAGTGTATCCTATGTAGCAGTGTTGTCACCCTAGCATTGTTACCTGTGGACTCCAAGCTGAAGTCACTCTGGAATACAGAAGGAGCACAAGACCTCATGCAATGTCTATGTCCAGGGCTGTGGATAAGGGGGTACCACCAGGCCTCCTGTACGGGGCCCAGGCCAGCAAGGGGGCCCAGGCAGCTGGGTGAATATGATGTAGGCAGAGAGTGGGGGGCAATTACTTGAACTGATGCCCTGTATGGCTCTCTGCAGCATCTGAAAGCTGGATTCTTCTCTTCTACCTCCCGCTGGCTTTCAGCTGCTACATAAAGAGCCATACAGGGAATTGGTTACAATAATTGCCCCGCCACCCACCATGCCGGTCAACCACCCACCCATCATGCCGATCACCCACCCTGTGCACATCTGATTCACCCAGCTGCCTGGGCCCCCACAATGCCGGCTTCCCTCCTCTCCTTCCCACCTGCAGCTGCAAGCACACAATAGGATCCTTCAGGATGGAAAGTGGGAGAAAGGTCTGATATATATGCCACATTAACCAATCCCTTCCTTTCCTGAATGAACACAATTGAGTGATCGGCACTGATCACTCACTGTGCTCATTCATAACTAAAGCATAGTAAACTGTTTTTTTTTTTTTCTAAGGGGGCCCTGTCAGGTTGGCTGTATGGGGCAACGTGGTTTCTAACAGCAGCCCTGTCTATGTCATTGGAGAGGGACATCCACTAGCATTTACTCTGGACTTCTAAAGCTAAGAAGGTAAGTCCTAATGAAAAAAAAAACTACAGAACAGTTATGGGCAGCCTGTAACAGGATAGAGCAGGAAGTTAAGGTTAGGGTTCAGTTATGCTTTAGGAAAGTGTAAAACTATGATAACCCTTAGTTTTGCCATACAGAAGTTGGGATTTTGACCCAAAATGCAACAAATCAACTTTAAGAGTCATAATGGGAATGGCTGGGTCAACACCCTATGTACACCGACCAATTATTAAAGCTTTGGAGGAGGGCAAAGGAACTTTATTGCATTTTTTGTCAGCTGTACCAAGGTTTTTTCTATTTTTTAAGCATCTGTTGACCTTAATTTGATTGCAGGAGCGGACTGACCATTTGGAAACTCGGGCACTGCCCGAGGGCCCAGGGTCAGTAGGGGGCCCCATGAGATGCCCCTGGTACCTTTTTCATAGGCTTTTTTGATTTTTGGCAAGGACACAGGGGCTCCATGATCCCCTATTGCCTGGGGCCCCATGAGTTGTCAGTCTGTCCCTGTTTGGTTGTAAACCTCAAACATGAAATATGAACAAAGCAAATCCCTCTATAGTGTGTTCTTGTCTCAGTTAAAGTGGTAGTAAACTCTTTTTTAAATATTTTTTTATACTAAAGCTTACCTGTAAGTAAAATGAATATCTCCTAAATGTGCACCGTTTAGGAGATATTTCCTGTTTTTGAGAAATACATTTCAAATATATTGTATGTCTTTAAAAATTCAAATCTACATTTTTGGAATGCATTTACAAATATATGTAAAAATATATGTTAAAATGACTTTTTTATATGTTAATAAAAAATCTGAAGAATATATTTAAAAAATATATATATATTTTTAAAAATATATATATTTTTAAATATATTTTACAGATTTTTTTTAACATATAAAAAAGTCATTTTAACATATATTTTTACATATATTTGTAAATGCATTCCAAAAATGTAGATTTGAATTTTTAAAGACATACAATATATTTGAAATGTATTTTTAAAAATATTTTTCATATATTTTGTAATTAAAACACATTTCAGCATTCTATATATATATATATATATATATATATATATATATATATATTTAATGAAATATATTTGAAAATATATTGAATATGGCCAAAATTGTAGTATTTCAAAAGTGTGGCAATATATTTGGGAAGATTATTTTTAAAATATATTTCAAATATATTTTTCTTTCCATATGGGACACTGTATTCATTCTCTGCCCCCTTGCCCTGCTGTTCCCAGGGCAGCTGTCCCCTTCTGCCCACCCCTTGTCTCTGCTCTGGAGAGATCCACCCAGCTGTGAATCAGTTTGTTTATATCTCAGCAATGAGTGGTCTTGGCCAGGAGCGGACTGACAACTCATGGGGCCCCCGGGCAATAGGGGATCATGGGGCCCCTGTGTCCTTGCCCAGACTCAAAAAAGCCTATGAAAAAGGTACCAGGGGCATCTCATGGGGCCCCCTACTGACCCCGGGCCCTTGGGCAGTGCCCGAGTTTCCAAACGGTCAGTCCGCCCCTGCTCTTGGGGTAAAACCTACAAGCTATCGGTTCAGAAGCTGCAAAATTTGTATTAGGATGTAGTTTAGGGGTTGGGTTAGTGTTAGGTTAACCTTTTTTAGGTTTATTCTTTTTAAAGGTCAACCAGAAGACACAAGATACGGGTTACAGGATGGAGAAAAGGTAATGGATCACTTTATAAATAAGTTGCAAAGTGTATCTAAATTCAAAACTAGACATTTTTTTGGCTTTTGACGTTTTTTGGTGTTTTTTTCTACAGCCAGTAAACCCCCCAGCATGTCATCCTATGTGTCCATCCCCGGCATGTTATCCTATGTGTCCATCCCCGGCATGTTATCCTATGTGTCCATCCCTGGCATGTTATCCTATGTGCCCATCCCCGGCATGTTATCCTATGTGTCCATCCCCGGCGTGTTATCCTATGTGCCCATCCCCGGCGTGTTATCCTATGTGTCCATCCCCGGCGTGTTATCCTATGTGTCCATCCCCGGCATGTTATCCTATGTGTCCATCCCCGGCATGTGATCCTATGTGTCCATCCCCGGCGTGTTATCCTATGTGTCCATCCCCGGCGTGTTATCCTATGTGTCCATCCCCGGCGTGTTATCCTATGTGTCCATCCCCGGCATGTTATCCTATGTGTCCATCCCCGGCATGTTATTCTATGTGTCCATCCCCGGCATGTTATCCTATGTGTTCATCCCCAGCATGTTCTCCTATGTGTCCATCCCCAGCATGTTATCCTATGTGTCCATCCCCGGCGTGTTCTCCTATGTGTCCATCCCCGGCATGTTATCCTATGTGTCCATCCCCCGGCGTGTTATCTTATGTGTCCATCCCCAGCATGTTATCCTATGTGTCCATCCCCGGCATGTTATCCTATGTGTCCATCCCCGGCGTGTTATCCTATGTGCCCATCCCCGGCGTGTTATCCTATGTGTCCATCCCCGGCGTGTTATCCTATGTGTCCATCCCCGGCATGTTATCCTATGTGTCCATCCCCGGCATGTTATCCTATGTGTCCATCCCCAGCATGTTATCCTATGTGTCCATCCCCGGCGTGTTATCCTATGTGTCCATCCCCGGCGTGTTATCCTATGTGTCCATCCCCGGCGTGTTATCCTATGTGTCCATCCCCAGCATGTTCTCCTATGTGTCCATCCCCAGCATGTTCTCCTATGTGTCCATCCCCGGCATGTTATCCTATGTGTCCATCCCCGGCATGTTATCCTATGTGCCCATCCCCGGCGTGTTATCCTATGTGTCCATCCCCGGCGTGTTATCCTATGTGTCCATCCCCGGCATGTTATCCTATGTGTCCATCCCCGGCATGTTATCCTATGTGTCCATTCCCAGCATGTTATCCTACGTGTCCATCCCTGGCATGTTATCCTACGTGTCCATCCCCGGCGTGTTATCCTATGTGTCCATCCCCGGCATGTTATCCTGTGTGTCCATCCCCGGCATGTTATCCTATGTGTCCATCCCCAGCGTGTTATTCCTATGTGCCCATCCCCGGCGTGTTATCCTATGTGTCCATCCCCGGCGTGTTATCCTATGTGTGTCCATCCCCAGCGTGTTATCCTATGTGTCCATCCCCGGCATGTTATCCTATGTGTCCATCCCCGGCGTGTTATCCTATGTGCCCATCCCCGGCGTGTTATCCTATGTGTCCATCCCCGGCATGTTATCCTATGTGTCCATCCCCGGCGTGTTATCCTATGTGTGTCCATCCCCAGCGTGTTATCCTATGTGTCCATCCCCGGCATGTTATCCTATGTGTCCATCCCCGGCATGTTATCCTATGTGTCCATCCCCGGCATGTTATCCTATGTGTCCATCCCCGGCATGTTCTCCTATGTGTCCATCCCCGGCATGTTCTCCTATGTGTCCATCCCCGGCATGTTATCCTATGTGTCCATCCCTGGCGTGTTATCCTATGTTTCCATCCCCGGCGTGTTCTCCTATGTGTCCATCCCCGGCGTGTTATCCTATGTGTCCATCCCCGGCGTGTTATCCTATGTGTCCATACCCGGCATGTTATCCTATGTGTCCATCCCTGGCATGTTCTCCTATGTGTCCATCCCCGGCATGTTATCCTATGTGTCCATCCCCGGCGTGTTATCCTATGTGTCCATCCCCGGCGTGTTATCCTATGTGTCCATGCACACATAGAGTGTAATCAACGTTTTTTGGCTGGGACATTTTTTGGGCTGGAAAAAAACCCCAGGACTAGTGGACCCAGGGCTACAAGTTTTTTAGCTGTAAAAACACTCAAATGCTGAAAATGTGGCAAAACATGATAAAATGCGATAAATGACGGTTTAAACGCAGCAAACTGGCATTTTTGGACTTTTTTTGACCCTAAAAAATATTTTTTGGGGGGAAAAAAACACAAGCTTGGAAAACGCGGCTAAACACGGCAAAACGCCTCTAAACGCCAATGCAAAAACGCTAAAAAAAGCGGAAAAAGTTTTTAACGTGACTTTACACAGCTAACGTAACCAGAATTATGAAAATAACCCTGTTTGCATGGAGCCTGATGGGGGGGTTTGAACCAGGGGCGGACTGACAACTCATGGGGCCCCCGGGCAATAGGGGATCATGGGGCCCCTGTGTCCTTGCCTACACTCAAAAAAGCCTATAAAAAAGGTACCAGGGGCATTTTATGGGCCCCCTACTGACCCCGGGCATTGCCCGAGTGACTGGTTTGAACCTTTTTTTTTGCTGTGTTCCCAGTTGAGGAGATTTATTTAAGCTTTTCTCTTGGTGACCACTGACAATGAAAAATGAGGAAAAAAAAACCGAAATCTTAGTTGCGCCAGAACAGGAAGAGAGTGGAAGCCCTCCAATGTTGATATATTTTTCAGTGATTTCTGGGCATTTCCCTCACTCACCCCTGAAGTAAAGGGGAAATGGCTCCATTTGGTCACATACAGCGCCTTGAAAAAAGTATTCATACCCCTTGAAATTTTCCACATTTTGTCATGTTACAACCAAAAACGTAAATGTATTTTATTGGGATTTTATGTGATGGACCAACACAGAATTGTGAAGTGGAAGGAAAATGATAAATGGTTAGCAAAATAGTTTTTTACAAATAAATATCTGAAAAGTGTGGCGTGCATTTGTATTCAGTCCATTTTACTCTGATACCCCTAACTAAGATCCAGTGGAACCAATTGCCTTCAGAAGTCAATAGAGTCCACCTGTCTGTAATTTAATCTCAGTATAAATACAGCTGTTCTGTGAAGCCCTCAGAGGTTTGTTAGAAAACATTAGTGAACAAACAGCATCGTGAAGGCCAAGGAACACACCAGACAGGTCAGGGATAAAGTTGTGGATAAGTTTAAAGCAGGGTTAGGTTATACAAAATTATCCCAAGCTTTGAACAAAAAAAAAAAAAAAGTTTGGGCTTTGGATGTACTGTATTTTTAGGTTTATGTTGTTCTGAAGAAGAAGCTGCCCGGCTGTCATGATAACCATCTGTCCTAGACAAGATTATTCTTGTGTTATGATTTCAATATTTTCTCAGGTTCTGGTTTCTGAGTTCTGTTGTTTTCTGATACCGTGCTCCTGATATCTTTGGAGCAGGCTGAACCTCTTCCTGTGTTTTGCCTCTTCATAACCCATAACTGACTTTGACTTTTCTTTTTCACTTGAAACTTTATTTAGGTCTCCTGTCTGCACAACATTTGTTGTTAGTTAGGCAAGCCCAAGCAAACACCTTAGAGAACCACACGCTTTTAACCCCTCGCCTACCGGGCACTTATACCCCCCTCCTGCCCAGGCCAATTTCCAGCTTTCGGCGCTGTTGCTCATTGAACGACAATTGCGCGGTCATGCAACACTGTACCCATATGAAATGTTTATCATTTTTTTGTGACAGATAGAGCTTTCTTTTGGTGGTATTTAATCACCTCGGGGATTTTTATTTTTTCTTAAACAAACCAAAAACCACTGAAAATTTTGAAAAAAAAAAAATGTTTTTTCTTACTTTTTGTTATAAAATTTTGTAAATAAGTGATTTTTCTCCTTTACTGATGTGCGCTAATGAGGCTGCAGTGCTGGGCACTGATAGGCTGCACTGATGGGCACTGATGAGGAGGCACTGGTAGGTGGCACTGATGGGCATTGACAGGCATCACTGATGGGCACTGAAAGGCAGCACTCATAAAGGCACTGATAGGAGGCACTGATAGGCAGCACTAACTGGCACTGATAGGCGGCACTGACTGACACTGTTAGGTGGCACTGACTGGCACTGTTAGGCGGCACTGATAGGCAGCACTGACGGGCACTGATAGGCGGCACTGATGCACACTGATAGGCGGCACTGACTGGCACTGATAGGTGGCACTGACTGGCAGCACTGATAGGTGGCACTGAATGGCATTGATAGGTGGCACTGAATGGCACTGATGGGTGCCACTGAAAGGCAGCTCAGATGGGTACTGATATGTGGCATTGATGTGGCACTGATGGGCACTTAAATATGGCACTGATGGGCACTGGCAGGTGGCATGGATGAGCACTGAGAGCTGGCACTGATGGACACTGGCAGGTGGCACTGCTGGGGCTACACAGATCATCAGGGTACACTGGTCATCAGTGCTCTGATGATCTGTGTACATGTCCCCTCCGAGGAATGCCCGATTACTGGCTCTGCTCTCCTCACGAGCTGTCAGTGTGACACCTCGTGGAGGGAGAAATGCCGATAGCTGGCATTTCCCTGTGATCAGCTGTGACCGAGCCGACATCTTCGGCTCTTTCCATGGAACGGTGATCCGCTGTGTCCAAGGGACACAGCGCACCGCCGATCGCAGCGCTGCACACTCCGGGAGCCGCGCATGCGCGGTTAGAATGGGAGGACGTCATATGACGTCCTCGCAGAACGAGAGAACCACCTTGCGCCCGTCATATTACTATATGGCGGGCGGGAGCTGGTTAAAACTTTGGATGCCCATTCCTAGAGGTTGCTGGTAAACCATAGACTCCACACTAACTCATGAAACAATGCTTCCCGGAATCTTACAGCGGAGTTCCACCTAAAAAAATAATAAAATACTGTAGCTGCTGACTTTTAAAATGCAGCCACTTACCTGTACCTCTGTCCAGCAGTGTCCTCACCACCACTGGTTTCACCGGCCGTCTTCTCTCCCTGGCACCGGCATCTTCAGTGTGGGCACCCGGCTGTGACAGCTTGCGACCAGGGGCAGACTGACCATTTGGAAACTTGGGCACTGCCCGAGGGCCCGGGGTCAGTAGGGGGCCCAATGAGATGCCCCTGGTACCTTTTTCATAGGCTTTTTTGAGTTTGGGCAAGGACACAGGGGCCCCATGATCCCCTATTGCCCGGGGGCCCCATGAGTTGTCAGTCCGCCCCTGGTACAGGCCTCTGAGATATCCTAGAGACTGTTACCTCTTTGAGAGACTGTTCCAGGTTTCCTGGCTCCGGTTTGCTCTTGCATTGTAGTCCACTGAGCTGTAGTTGAGGTATCACTAGTCTCAAGTGGGATTTCACTTAAAAGTCCCGGTTTGACTTGAACGCCCCTTGTATCTTGCACTTAATTGGGAGTATCCCAAGGCTTAACCAAGACCACCCTAACCAAGTTCAACCAACATTAAACTTTAAAAAGACATGCACTGCCTGTTTCTTGAGTTGTGAGACTGTGGAACTGCTGTGTGCCTGGCTGCCATGTGCCTCATACGTATTGGAACCTGGGGAAAAAACAGCCTGCCTGGTCAGGAGTCTGCTGTACACCTGTAAGATAGCAAATCTCTTGTTGAGCTCAGGTCCACTTAAAAAAAAAAGAACTTTCAGGGGATAGTGTCCTTGTATCCAGCAAGACTCTAGCAAGTTCATCTGAGGACATTAAACCTCATTAGGACTGCTGCTGAGTAAGTGGACAAAATATTTGAGAGTTCATTCAACCCCGCATGGAGGAAATTGTCATTTGCATTCCTGCTGGTCAGCTGGGAGCAACATACTTTGCTTCGAATGATACTGGTGAGCAAGCACTTAGACTTGGCCAGGATGTCCATAAAATCCACTTGTTCTCTCTGTGAGCCACTGCAGGCTTCCTGTTGAGTCTGGACAATTATCATAGCGCCAAACAATTTTATCACAGTTATAAACAACTGGAAGTGATTAAAAGTCTTCTCAGATGGAGATTAAACTGTTAGCAACCTGGACCATGAGACTAAGAATGCTTAGAAGTTTATACGCATGAAAACAGATGACACTGCAGAAAAAGAAAGATAAAGTTCCATGATGGACTTTTAATTTTTTTAAAAGCGAATTGGAGACAAAATTATCCAGTTACTAAAGATCTCTAATCCCATTTTTCAACCGAAAATGTTTTTTCACTCTAAACTAAGCATTCCTTTGTTGGATGTGTATGCCAATCTATCAAGCCTTCACACGATAACACCCTATAAAATACTGTTTAGTGAGCTTCCCATTACTGACTTTAGGGTGGTAATAGTTGGTGCAAGGTTATGTGTTTTCATGTAAAGATCTCATACCATATATTGCAATGCAGAATACTTAGGATGTTTAGAAATGTGGATTCAGGTTAACCCGATCAGAGGAAACATTGGAACCAGGGGTGGACTGACAACTCATGGGGCCCCCGGGCAATAGGGGATCATGGGGCTCCTGTGTCCTTGCCCAAACTCAAAAAAGCCTATGAAAAAGGTACCAGGGGCATCTCATGGGGCCCCCTACTGACCCCGGGCCCTCGGGCGGTGCCCGAGTTTCCAAATGGTCATTCCGCCCCTGATTGGAACTCTGAAGATATCTCTTGTCACGCTTACCTCTAACGCAAGTAGTCAGACACTATAGCTGGCCTCTGTGTTCCTCACCTATAGCAGCCCCCCTTTCCCATAGGTCAAGCAGACCAACTTGATTATTATTTATATATTATTATTATACAGGGTTTATATGGCGCCAACAGTTTGCTCAGCGCTTTACAATATAACAGGAGACAATACAGCAACAATACAGTTCACTACAAGAGGGTTAGGAGGGCCCTGATCCTTGGAGCTTACAATCTAAGAGATTGATTGCCCTCAGCACTTATACACAATGCTATACTGCCTAACTACCTGGACAGGTGCGAACTGAGCAGAGCAAACAGGTATTTGCAGTTGGTTGACAGGCAGAGTGGTCTAATGACAGTTCAGGTACAAGGCAAACAAGCTTCAGAATAATCCGAAATCAAAAGGCAGGCCGAGTTAAGAGTGTAGTCGATATGCGATCTGAGGTTGTCGACGAGGAAATCCAAACTAGGCACACGAACAGGGCAGTCAAACAGGGATCTTGGAGCATGTGTTACAAATGCATTATCACAAGCATGGGACTGCAGGCTTGGCAGGTTTAAATCAGGTTTGGTCTCCACCTGGAGACTGGCCAGATCAATCACCTTGCGGGTGGACAGACAGGAAGATACACTTTATTAGGTACATCTGTTCAATTGCTTGGTAAGACAAATTGCTATTCAGCCAATCACATGGCAGTAACTCTGCATCTAGACGTGGTGAAGACGACTTGCTGAAGTTCAAACTGAGTATCAGAATGGGGAAGAAAGGGGATTTAAGTGACTTTAAACATGGCATGGTTGTTGGTACCAGATGTGTTGGTCTGAGTATTTACCCCCTTCCTGACCAGGGCAATTTTCAGCTTTCAGCGCTATCACACTTTGAATGACAATTGCGCGGTCATGCAACACTGTACCCAAATGAATTTTTTACCATTTTTCTGACACAGATAAAGCTTTATTTTGGTGGTATTTATTCACCGCTGGGATTTTAATTTTTTTTCCTATGTAAATGAAAACGTCCAAAAATTTTGAAAAAAAGTGTTTTTTTTAAATAAAATTTTGCAAATAAATAATATTTCATCATAAATCTTGGCCAAAATGTATTCCGTTATCTTTTTAGTAAAAAAAAAATCCAAATTAGTTCATAACCAAAAATTATAATTTTTAAACATTTTTATTTTATTTTTTTATATTATTATTTTTTATTATTATTATTTTTTACATACTGTCACCCTAGCAGTACAGTGTCACCATGGTGACACTGTTCTACTTGTGTGGGGTGATGAAGATTTTTTTTTTTTTTTTTTTTTTTTACACATTGCTTTTGCACCCATATAGGCCAATCAGTGATCACATGATCGGGACCTCGTACAGAGGTCCCATCCGACGATCGGTGTTTCACTGTGTCCTGAGGACACAGCGGGCACCGGATCGCGGTGCTGCGCGCGCTCCCAGGAAGTGCGCACAAGCAGGGTGCGGGGAGGCCATTTATAAACGGCCACCCGACCCTGCACTGCCACAGTCCGGCCGTTTATATGCAATGGCCGGTCGGGAAGTGGTTAAAAAACTGCTGATCTCCTGGGATGTTCATGCACAACCATCTCTAGGATTTACAGAGAATGATCTGAAAAAGAAAAAAATATCCAGTGAGCAGCGTGTGGAGGAAAATGCCTTGTTGATGTCAGGTCAGAGGAGAATGGGCAGACTGGTTCCAGATGATAGAAAGGCAACAATATGGACCAAGATCTCAGAGGAATGTTTCCAACACCTTCTTGAATCTATGACACTTAGAATTAAATCAGTTCTGAAGGCAAAAGGGGGTCCAACCCGATACTAGCAAGGTGGACCTAATAAAGTGGCCGGTGCGTGTATTATTACAGCCAAAACCTGGATGCTGGAATGAGACTAGTGACTATAAAGGATCAGGACTGCTACACGCTCCTGACAGCTCTTTACTAAAGACAGTGAGCAAGATACAATAATATTACATTATCAAGGTCATGTGGACTAGAGTAGTGTTTCCCAACTGGGGTATCAGTTGGGTTTCCCTGCATACCATGGTCATGGGACCCACTTTGCCTTGGAGCAATATCATGAGTTGCCATGGGGTGGATGGGCTGACCACCAGCCTCACAAAAACCAATGGCACTCTAGGAGAGTAGACATGGGGTCATGTATTGCTATGGTATTGGCGGCCAGCCAGCCCACACAATGACAACTAATCTGATGACACTGTTTCAGGGCAGGTGGCATGCAAGGCAACCCCCAGCATTCAGGAGAAGACAGAAGCCTGGCTCCCAAGACCTGTCCCACCTCCTGCCCACTTCCATGCTGTTGGAGCCAAAATGTATAGCTCTGATGTTAAGAAGGGACTGTATGATTAAAGGGCTATGTGATGGGGGACTATGTAATGGGGTGGCTCTCTTATGGGGAAACTCTGTGATGGGGAGAATTCTGATGTTATGAGAAGGTTCGGTGATGGAGGGAATCCGATGTAATGGGGGACTCTGATGTGATGAGAAGACACGGTGATGGAGTAATCTGAAGTGATGGGGGGCTCTGATGTATAGGAAGACTCTCAGATATATGGAGGACTGACGTATAGGGAGGACTCTGATGTGATGTGGTACCCTGACATGATGGGGGACCTCTGACATGAAGGGGGATCTGATGTAATGGGAGGACCTCTGATGAGAAGGAAGGCTTTTGATGTGAAGGTAATTCCATCAAGGCAGTTGTGTGCATTG